AAGGAAGGAAGGAAAGAAGGAAGGAAGGAAGAAAGAAAGGAAGGAAGGAAAGGAAAGGAAAAAAGGAAAGAAAGGAAGAAAGAAAGAAAGGAAGGACGGAAGGAAGGAAGGAAAGAAAGAAGAAAGAAAGAAAAGAAAAGAAAAGAAAAGAAAAGAAAGAAAACTGAAACCTAAGTCTTAAGAGATGCCCACAGTTAGGTTTGGAATAATATGGTAAATAAAGAGATGAAAAGCAAAATAAGAAAAGCTCTCAGTTAAATTTGGGAATAGGATAATGACCAAGGTGCTTAGGGAAAAAGAGTAACTCTTTTTAACCTGTAAGTGTTTATCTGACCTGTTGGAGTACATCTCCTTAAAGTAGGGGGTAAGGTCATCTGCTGAGAGAGAGGAAGGGAAGAGAGAAGAGATCCAGAACATTTACTATGTGGAGCATGGCAGGGAGACACCCTAAGTGTAAAGAGCCAAGTTGAAATTAGACAGCATGAATTTATAATGGGCCAGGGCTGTGAAGTTCTGCCTCTTTAAACCACAACAGAGAAAAAAGATGGGGTGAAGGATGGGGGAGAGGTGATCCAGGGTCAGGGATTGGTATGGCAGACGTGGCAGAAGGCCAAGGAAGCAAAAACATTAAGAGTGGTGGTGAGGCCAGCATTGAATTGGCTGATTCTCAAGTCATGGCTAGGTAGGATGTCTGTGGTGTCCAGGAGGAAACTAATCGACTGAGAGAAGTGGGGAAAGGTTTGAAGTCCCAGTGAGAGAAGAGAGTAAGTTCACCTTACACGGAAGAGTGGAAAATGTGATGAGGGTGTGGTCTAAGAGGAAGCCTGGTTTCAAAAGACCTGGGTTTGAGTCCCAGATGTAGCATTTCCTACTAATGTAACTTTATATACTTTCCTTAGATTCTCTGAGCCTTGGTTTCATTAATTATAAAATGGGGGTAAAAATATCTGTACTTCTCACCCCACACAATCTGGTTCTAACCAATCTTTTCAGGCTCATTTTACATTACTTTCTCCCTTTCCTGCACCTACATTTCTGTCCTTCCTGAGGTTCCCTCAGAACAACATTCTATCTCCTACTCTGTGCCTTTGTGTAGATAGATGTATCTCCCATGCCGTGAACACGCTCCTGTATCCTTCCTCTTGGAATCACTTAATCAAGGGATTCAAGGTTCAGCTCAAATGCTAACTCCTGCAAATAGTTAATTTTTTTTATTTTCCTGGTTTCCCTAATTGTTAGTCCCCCCAATTAAATTTTACATTTTTTAATATATTCTGAATTTACGAATCAATATAGGTGTTGCTTTCTCCAGCAGAATGTAAACTCTTCAAAGATTGAGACATTTCATTTAAAAAAAAACAATCTTCATATTCCTAGCACCTGGCGTGGTAGCTGGCACACATTTGTGCTTGTTGAGATGAATGGAATTGATCTCTCTGAAGGTTCTAGAGAAGCAATACTCGGGTTCTTGTTGCAAATATTTCCAGGTGCAAATATTCCATATTGATTATTATTATTGATTCCATAATAATAGAATAATCCACAAATTGGTCTCAGGTAGGATTTTAGTACCCCTGCTTAATATCTTTCTTTTTTTAAAGAAGAGTCTTCATCTTGTATACATATGTCTTCCACTAGAATTTAGAATTGTGAATATATTGTAACAAAGAGACTTGGATATTTTGGTTTAACAGGATCTAGAAGATGTTTATGAGTTAAAAGATTTAATATGTTTCCATAAATGTCTTTGTTACTACTAAGCCAGTACCTATTTTCTATCTCAAGCCAGTATCGATTCTTTTCCAGCTTGGTGATTAACTCTCCTTTTTGTTTTTCATTCCATCCCCTTCTTAGATGGTATGAACAGAGCTGGCTTAATTGAAAATTGGCCTCACTTTTATTTTTCATTCCTCTCTGTCACCTTATTCCAAACCCAAGTGTGGGGATCCCACAAGGCTTATTCATTATCTGTGACTGCAGTGATGGGAGTGGTGATGATGCATTCCCCTGTACGGCTGCTAGGATTTTATAAACTTTTGAATATTATGCCCTGTTTGAGCAGAGAGAGTCCAGCACTGTCATTTCAAGTTGTCCTTTCTGACTAGCCCCACCCCCTTCATTCCTTCTTTGGTTACATTTACTTGATACCAGAACATCTAGAGGAAAAGTGAAAAAATTCAGCCGTGCCACCGGATAGATCTTCAACTACCCACCCATTCATCGTCATCATCACTCATTTATCAAATGCCTACTCTGGGTTTAGCTCCAGGAACCTAGCATCTTGCACAGCACACAGTAGATATTTAATAAATGCTTTTTGAATAAATGGAGTTGGATGACTAAAATACAGATTCTCCCTTCACAGAGCTTACAATCTAGTTGTTGTCGCTATACCTCAAGAATTGCCAAAAATACTTTGAAGCTACTAGGTGATCACTGGTTGAGTTTTTGCCTTTTCATTCAGATGTGTGCCAAGCACGGCCATGCTGTGGTTTTTCCTGGAACTAAGGATGGACTCATTCCTCTAAAAGCCAATTAGTTATCTGTGTCCCAGACCAAGTTTGCTATGGAATTCCGTAGTGCATGGGGTAGTTTGGTCAACAGCTGTACCTCTGGGAAAGCTTCCCTCTCTGGTTTCCATTTTTTTCCACTTTGGCAGTTAACTCTCTTTTATTGGCTTTCTTTTCATTTCCTGCTGAGATAATAGAGCAGAGCTAAGGCTGGAGCAGTGGCTCCATAATATATCTTTTCAAATTCCTGATTAAGAAGGTCACATATACATTTTTAAACACTTTACTTTCTGACAATAAATGAGGAATGAAAGTTTCAAATGCCACCCACAGGAGAGATAGGCATTATTCTTTCATTCTCCCTCACCCTGCCTTAATGACTCCCTTTGACAGAGAGGTCCATTTCTGGACTGATGTGTCATCAATAAATGGTGATCTCAAAAGCAAGGCCCATCATAGAACGGGGCATCTGTGTCATGTGGGTGATGGTACTGCAATAAAGCAGATGATACTCGACCTAAGATTGCCAAAAGACCTGGGTTTGGCCCTTGGCTCCGTGGGACTTTAAACTCCAAACTTCAGCCTACTCGTCCATAAAATGAGGAGAATGATACCTACACTGTGTATCTTACGGGGCCAGAAGAACAAAATGGAAGGATATACATGAAAATGTGTCATAACTCAAGAGCTTTTATTTTTAAAAAAAATTATTTTATTTTATTTAACATGAGCTTTTATTATTCATTCATTTCAATTCAGCAAACATTTATTCAATGTCTGCTGTGTGCAAGACTGGGCTCTAGGGATATGGAAAGCAAATGAAACAACCCCTCACCTCAAATTGCTTACAGTCTCCTGAGGGAATATTGCCAGTATATGAGTAAGTACACTGCAGGGAGTGAAAGAGGGAAAGGAGAGATTAGACAAAGTGCTCCAGGAATATTTAAGGAAGGAGGATAAACTAAGTGCTGAGGGGATCAAGAAAGACTCCCTGAAGGTCGTGGTACCTAGCCTGAAATGGAAAGATAATAAGGAATCTGAAAAATGGAGATGAAAAGGGAATAGAAAAGGTGGTCTGGGAGAATGCACAAGTGTAGGAGATGACGTATGGACTTTGGTGATCAGCTAGCAATATGATTGGAGTGAAAAGCGAATGGGGTGGAGAAGGACAGTATAAAAACAACTAGAAAGGAAAGCTGGAGTCAGATTATGAAGGACCTTAAATGACAGGCTGAAGAATGTGTATTTTAACCCAGAGGCAGGTGGGAGCCATGGAAGGATGTTGAGTATTCATTTACAAGTGTTTATTAGGTACCTCCAGGGTGCAGGGGTCTCTGTTACATGCTAGAAAAATGACAAAATTTAGTGAAGACCCCGTCCTTGTCTGCATGGAACATACAGTCTCATGAGGGGATAAGACACAAACACAGGCAGCTGTAATGTATAATATTACAGGAAAGTGCAATAAAGGGGCACAAAGCAAAAGCTTGTGAGCATCAAGTCAGGCAGACCCACCCAACATTCTATTCCCAATCCTTGCCAAAGCACTTTACTTTGTGGCTATAGCGGAATCTTTGTCCTATATAGGTAGGAATGAAAGCCAGGTTCTGCTCTTCTCTGGTCCAAGCTAATAAAAAATTCTTCTAAACTAAGATTTACTTAGCAAGTTTCATTCATGAGAATGGACTGCAGGCATATATGCCAGATTAAATAATAATGATAACCCACATTTCTATAATACTTGAAGTTTTACAAAATCCCTGCCTCACAAGGAGTCAGCAGAGTAAGAAAGTATTATTCAACCCATTTTGTAGATGAAAAACTAAGGCTCAGAATGGGAAGTGGCCACAGCCAGAGTTATAGTTAGTGAAATTGGCCAACATTATAGAATGTGGAACTATAAAGGATCTTAGAGACTGATTAGCCCAATTTTCTCATTATAATGGTGAGGAAATTAAGGGACAAAATGATCAAATGACCATTTGATCACACAAACAGCAAGGCCAGGAATCAAACCTACATCTTCTTCCTCTCAATTTGGTGCTCTTGCCATTAGACAACACCACCTTAATTCTCCTGACTCTAAATTCAGCCTTCCTTCCCTTCTAATCTCACCCAGAAAAGCCAGTAGCCCTCAATACCATAAAGTTCCCATTCTCTTTGAGAGTGCATATAACAGTGTGAAGTGATCAAACGATACCTTGTTTGGGCCTCGAGTACACATTCCACCTATTATTATTGACATCACAAGATTCAGCAGCCCCCAGAGCTTCTTCCCTGCCTACCCTGTTCCCAAATGTTCCCAAGAAAAGTAGCCATTTTTGTTGTTTGCATGAACCCTAAATGTGAACCTCAGCTCAGATACCCAAAAAGTTGAACCATGGCTGCTTTTCTTTTGGTCTTCATGCAGTTGAACCAAGCTGACCCTGGTTTCTCCTCTCTTAAAATTACCTTGCAGGAAACTAGCCAAGAAACAGAAGGAGACTCAGAGCAGCACCCAGAGGGAGATGGGGCCTGTGGCAACAACAGACAAGGCCACCACCAAGCTGAGCACCGCTCGGAATGAAGAAGGCTTTTCCTCCAGCACTCAGGATGTGAATGGATTCAGTAAGTAGAACCCTCCTATTACCAATAGCCGAGGGTCTCCTTCCCATGGGCACCATTATGTCATACCTACTGAAGGACATTCTCAATAAGACCCAGTGTTCTTGCGGTGTTGGTGGTGAGACTGAGATTTAAAACCTTCCTGTCTGAGGTATATCATGAAGAAACTAGCATGAGAAATCATACCCTTAGGTCTTCTCATTCCTGCAAAAGTAAGTGTTAAATACCTGTCAATTAATGTTTTTCACCAGGCTCTGAGCTGAATGAAACAATTATAATAATTATAACATGATAATTATTAGCTTTAGTTAATAAGTTAATAAATAATAGTTAGCTAAGTGGCACAGTGGACAGAGTGCTGGACCTGGAGTCAAGAAGACTCATCCCTGTGAATTCAAATCCAGCCTCAGAGGGTGACCCTGAGGAAATCATTTCACCCCTGTTTGCCTCAGTTTCTTCATCTGTAGAATGATCTAGATAAGGAAATGACAAACCACTCCAGTATCTTTGCCAAGAAAACCTAAAATGGGATCACAAAGAATCAGACACAACTAAAACAATACACCAACAACAAAAATAATCATAATAACTCCTCTTTCTATATCACTTTATCATTTACAAAACACTTTCCTCCCAACCATCCTGTGAGTTAGGTAATGTAGGTATCATGATCCATTTTACAGGGGGGAAAACTAAGGTGCCCAGTGATTAAGTGACTGGCCATGAACACATGATGGAAAGGAGTCTATTGAGTAATAAGTCCACCTAGGTTGCTGCTAATAGATGGAGTGTATCTTAGGAATCTATTTGTGTGATGACACATTTTCCCAAGTTTCCTAGAATGGGAAATCTCTTTCAATTGTTTTCAATTCAACAAACATTTGGAGGACAGGTTGGCATGTGATAGCATAATAGGTGGTATAGTGAATAGAGCCTTGGACTTGGAGTCAGAAAGATTTGCCTCAGACATTTATTAACTGCATGACCCTGTGTGAGTCACTTGACCTCTCCTGGTCTTAGTTTTCCCATCTACAAAATGGAGGTGATAATAATAACCCCTATTTCATTGGGTTGTTGATGAGATGATATATGTAAAGTGCTTTGTAAACCTTAAAAGCTATATAAATGCCAGTTGTTATTTCTTCAAGATCTTCTTTGCCAGGCATTGTGCTGGGTGCTATGCATACAAAATAGAAAGCAAATGGTCTCTGTCCTCAGTGAGAGGATGAGAAGAGGCAAGTGGCATGTACAGAGATAAGTAAATTAAAAATATTTACATGATAAATACAAAGTCATATTTGGGGAGAGAGCAATAACAATTAAGAGCATCAGGGAAGACTTCTTGGAGGAGGGCCACTTGAGTGAAACTTTGACCTTGAGGTTTCAGGGTCTTAGAGGTGTGGGAGGAGGGAGCACCGCTTAAGCAAAGCCATGGAGTCTGGAAGTAGAATGCTGCATTCTGGGCTACAGTGAATTTAGTATGTGTAAGAGGGAGTGATGTGTAATCAGCTTAGAAAGATAGATGGGAGCTAGATTGTGAAGGGCTTTTAATGTCAATCAGAGGAGTTTGTATTGTGAATTCTTTTTATATATAAACAAAAAATCCTTTTCCTGTCCCCACCCCCACCCCTTCTGGCTTTTCATTTGTCCTTGTGTCCACCGGATGTCTAGTCCTTAGCTCTCCTTGGGCTGCCCTCTGGAGCCAGTTTGTGCTGGCCTGAGCTGGTGCTCCCTGAGGGACTCCTGTCCTCAGAGTAGCGGTGAGCAGAGGGAATAGGGGAGCAAGCACCTCGATGGGATCTTTTAGTATTTGGCCACAGTATATCCAACTTAATTCCTTGTTTGCTGGAGTTTTGACCTACTCTTAGCTCCCACTGGCTGGCCTGAGGTTAGCTGGACTCAGGCCTAATTATTCTGCTTGTTTGGCTAGAGTAATGATAATAATGTCAGTATGCATCATACTATCACATTTTCAAATTCCAAAAATTTATAAGGAGATTATTTTTACTCAACTTGTGTGTCATCTGTGTGGTGCCATGGAAAGAACCCTAGATTTCAAGTCACAAGGCCTCAGTTTGAATACTTACTTTGTACCTTACTATCATGTCTGACCCAAAGCAAGGCCTGTAACCTCTATGAACTTCCATTTTCTCATCTTGAGGTGGGGGGTGGGGGGCTGGACTAAGGTTCCTTCCAATCCCTTATGCCATGATTCTCTTATTTCCTCCAGGAAGCCTTTCCAGATGTTAGGGCTCTCTCCCTTATCCTCAAATGCCTTGTACAGATGCTTATGATTTCTGTCTACCCACCTGCTAGAGTGTAAACTCCTTGAGGGCAGGGACTGTTTTCATTTTGTCTTTGATCTCCAGTCCCTAGCACAGTGCTTGACACATAGTAGGTACATGAATAAACGGCTGTTTATTAAGCATTTACTATGCACCAGTCGCTGTGCCAAATGCTTAGCCTAGATAAACTACAGCAAAGCAGTGCCTGTACTCAAGGAGCTTAAGATCAAATGGAAAGACAACAGATATAAGAGAGTAATGGCCAGGGAAGAGAGTTATGCTCTGGCTAGTAAATGGAATAACAGGGTAATCTGCTGATGGACCTTTTCTATTGGCAATAGAGGAATTGATTTGATTGTAGTTTTCAGATCAAGAGACAGAAAGGTGGAGAGGGGGTATGTTCACAGAAGCAGAGTGGAAAATGACTGGGTAAAGAGGAGTCTGTATGGTCTCAGGAGTGCCCAGCCAAGTGACTTAATAAGTGCTTGTTAGCTTGAATTTCAGAGAAGGAAATTAAGTGGCAGGAGGGTATGTGGGTGGACTTAGAGGTGCATAGATCTGGAGTTGGAAGAGACTTTAGAGGCCATCTAATTGACAGATGAAGAACTAAGTTCAGTGACTTGGTCAAGGTCATACAGGAACTTTCAGCAGCTGGATAGGAGGGGATTGAGAAGAATGTAGAGAAAACAAAAAATAAAGGAGCTATGTGAAGGGAATAGAAAGAAGGGTTGGATTAGCCATGACTTCCATGACCCAGACAATCTGTATGAGATGTTTGCTTACTTTGGTTATTTATTTGGGCAAGTCATTAAATCACTCTGAACTTCAGTTGTCTCATATATGCAATAGTCCCTTCTTGGTCAATCAAAAGGTTTGGAGAAAGTGGAGGGAGGGATATCACATGAGAACAAGGGTATATAAGCCCCTTGGTTAGCTGATATCCCTTGCTCCAAGAACTGCATGGCCAAGGACTAAACTCAGATCCAAAGGGCATTTATTAATATTTGGGGAAATGTCCATGGAGGACTTGGGCTGCTATGAATCCCTGGCTATTTCTTATAGCCATAAAGTGTAATCCTGAAATTTTGAGTGACTTTTCCCCAATTAAGCAGCCAGACACTGAGCGCAAAAGGTAGGAAAGAAGAGATTAAGCCCCCCTTTCCACAGCAACTTTAAGTATATGACTTGAAAATTTCTTGTTCTTAAGAGTCTAGGATCTCAAAGTAAAAAATCAACATTGCACTAGAGCACAAAATGTACTTATTAAGCATTTATTAAACACCTACTATGCACAAGGCACTGTTCTGAGTCCTGAGGCTGCACAGACATTAAAAAAAACCTCCCCTGCTCCCCCACCCTCCACTCCAAGACCAGGATCAGCTTGAATACACCACCAAAAAAGCAGTGTGGGGGAAAAGGATGAAAGAAAATTCTGTCCAATTGAATTAGGTGTCTGAAGGAGCCAGAGTCAGCCTACCCGAGTGAAAAATTGTCTTGATTCAATTTACTGGCAATGGTTGGGGGAAAGTTTTAAATCCAATGGCTGATTTGGTGTGATCATTAAGACACTTCACATGCATTTGAATCAAGTGAAGTTTCTAGATTCTGTCAGAATATTTGGTGCTGCCTCATCAGATATACCACAGAAAGGATACAGGATTTTTTTTTTGTTAACCCTGGAATGCATCAGATGCCTTTTAGCATGCCCCATGAAATCATTTTGATGAATGTTTATAAAAACTTAAGCAATGCTTGCTCTTGAAATGTAGAAATTGCTTCTGAAATTACCTTGATGTATATCAAATTGAATCTATTTTTATGGTATTAGGGAAGAGTGTCTGATTTCAGTATTGGCGGCTTTTGGAGGCACGGAGATCTTGTGTAATGGTGAAAAAAGCCATATTATGCTGCAAACTGAGTAATTGTCGCTCTGGAAAAGATTAGGGGAGAACATGCCCTGAGAACTTATTTCATTATTTCCTATGCTGTCCCTGGCCTAATTGAAATTCTGCTTCTTACTGTGGGGGGGGTTGCTTTTGGTGTTATTTCTGCTAAGAAAATCCTATGGCCTCAATTCCACTGTAGCACTGGAAAGCCCAGAAGTCATCACAGGGGTCCCCAACGGCCTCACTGCTTATTGCTCCTGGTTGTGATGGTGTCCGGCCCCAGGCCACAATTTCGGAATTTTTCATATGCTTAAAGTCAAACATTTATTTTTTTCAAGGACCAGCAATTGGGCATTGGCTTTTATTGAACAAAATAATTGTTTTTAATCGTCATCTACATTTGCTTTTATTACTCTGCTGTAATTTTATCATAAAATCATGTTAGTGGAGCTGGAAGGGACCTCAGAGACCATCTAGCCCAACTCCATCATTTTGTAGATGAGGAAACTGAAGCCTAGAAGGGCTGAGTGACCTCCTCAGGATCACACAGGAAATAAATAGCAGAACCATATCCTGAACATTCCAAGTTCAGTGCTCTTTTCCAGTGTTCCATGGGGTCCAGAGATGGAGCATTGTGTGTGAAGGACAGCAAGGAGGCTAGTATTGCTGTATCTTCTGTGTGTATGCATGTGTGTTTGTGTGTGTGTGTGTGTGTGTGTGTGTGTGTGTGTGTGTATGTATGAGAGAGAGAGAAGCCTGCATTGGTGGAAGGAGTTTCTAATCCATATGAATCATAGACCATTCAGGCTTATGTAAAGGAAACATCTCTGTG